AAAATTTTACAGATAAAAATTACATGATTAAATTAATAAATATCCGATAAATATTTTAAATTAAAAAATAAACCACTCATTACCCATGTTACCTAATGGGCGGCGGTTTACTGGACCACAGATTTGAATACGTGAATGTTGAAAATGAGTGGAAAATTATTTTATAGACTTTTGGTACCCTAAAAGACAGTTGTCAAGAGCATAAACGATTGAAACTTCAATTTATTTTTTTTTTTGAACAATTTGACATTTGACTTGGGGCGGAATCGAAAAACCCGCCCAAAAACTTCAATTTAGTACAATTAAAAATTTTAAATTAATAAACATCGATCAGTTAAATCTTTATTAATATACTATCATTAATAACCTGACTTCTAAGCCCTTGGTGTCGAGAAAGCCTACCGAATCACCGGTATATCACGTCACTCGTATCCCTACCCAATCAATTACTGTCAGCTCACGTGCAAAAATAATTTAAAATTTTGTGATAATATTGATATTGGAGCTGATGGTCTAAATAGATGAAATTTAATTTTTGTTAAATAAAATTTTAAATTTATATATTATAAATGAAAAAATAAATGTTGAGGAAATTTTCTTTCTATTAAGATTTGACGTGTCTTAACTCTTAAATCTCTCTCACAATCATCTTCAAGGCTATCTGCCTGTTTCATTAGAGAATCTCAGTTTTCTCAGTGACCTTGATGTTTCCAAGAACAACCGACAACAACCTCACTAGTCCAATCCCCTCCAGAGGTCAGCTGGCCACTTTCCCAGCATCCCCAATCCTTCACACACTTGACTTCCTCACCCTAACTTTTCAGTTCACCGACTTCGAAGCCACCAGTCACACCCCGACCCCCATCACCATGGCAACGTCTAAATTGATACAAAATCAAACTACTCCTCCTCCATTATTTTCACTTTCATCTTTGATTTTTTCATTAATGAAATGTGGATTACAGCAGGTATGATCCCTTTTTTAGTCTACTTTTTTTTCATAATACTCCAACAAGTAGTTAATCACAATCAGATTTTTTTTTTTTTAAGTTCAAGCAGTGAAAGGTTTAAATAACCTTAATTGACTCATTAATTAAGATTATTTTGGTAAGTTCATAATCTAAACTACATTTTTTTATTAATTGAAACTAAAAAAACCATTCTCATTTCAGTTTACATACATATAAAATTGACTCCTAAAAAGCAACTAGCCAATAATATTTTTATGTTTATTTTTGGGCCAACAAACTAGTATCCATTTTTAGATTTTAAAATATATAATAAAAATTTATTGTATAACTTAAATTATAAAATAAAATTTATTAAATAAA